ATGATTGATTAACTCATTTAACACTAAAACCAACAGTGTGAATAGCCCCTATCGATATATCCATTATGTATCTTAGTAAGTAAATTGTCCATTATCACTTCTTTACTGGTGTTAATGCAAATTAGTCTGTGAGCCTTGTTTTGAACCCACATTTACAAGGTGGGCAGCTCAGTGTGGGGCCAGAGAGAATGTAAGCACTCCAAAATGTAGCAGCAGCTGGAAAAGAGCTGGTAGTGCTAAGCATTTGGACCTGGGCAGTTATAAATTTTTTGTAAAGTGGGAGAGTTCCATGTCCGTATTTTAGGATGACTCTGATAATGTTAAAGATCCAGAAGGTGAGATTAAGTGGCCTATACATAGGATCCCTGTTCAACTAGTTGTCTGAGACTGAATACCTGTGTCTCTGTTATATCTACAGGTAGCATGGACTTAAAAAGAGTGATGAGACTCCTAGAGGAAGCCCAGAGGAGTGAAGAAACTGAGGAAAACAGGTTTAAGGTCAGGAAATTTTCCACTGAAATACTTATAAAAATGAAAATCATCCACATAGTTGACAAATAAGACATAGTTGAATTGAATACTGTAAACAGTTACCTCGGCAACTGTCAAAAACTAAATGCTAAAGTGTTGGAAGAAAGCAGGTACCCAAATCAGCGGGATGGTATTTGTTATGCATGACGTTAAGCAGAGAGTTTTAAGACGAATTCACAAGTTAGCTCTAAGATGTAAATCACAACAGTTGATCTCTTGGGGGACGGGAGGTGGGGCTGGGGTGTCTCAAATTTAACGTGTCTCCTTGTATGAGCTAGAAAGTGGTAAAAGCTGCTCCAGGTGAGGCTCGAACTCACAACCTCGGCATTGCTCACAGGTGTACTGTCTTATAAGTACCGCGCGCTAACCGATTGCGCCACTGGAGCCACACTGGGTGCGGATTTAGGGAGATATAAGTGAATATATTTTCACAGATAAAGACACTATTTTTGCTAGACGTATTAAATAATATGAACAAAATGGCATCTTCTGATATGGAGCTTCCACAAATGGGGTTAGAAGCAGCAATCAAGGCATCCCTGGTATTAGCCAATCTGCAGCCGTTTCCCCCACAATATAGAGATGCTGCCGGGGATGAGCGTCGCAGTTACCTCTATCTTGATTTTTCGCTCAGATTTTCACGACTTCTCTAAATTGACTGTTATTTTAATGAAAAAAAAATTACATTGGTTCAACAAAGGCAGGAAGCTTTCTATTTAGGAGGGTGTATTCAGCGTGGAAAAAACTAGTGCATTTTCGTAGCTGCCCGATTCCGGATTCCCGTGGACTTTCCGTCTCAGCGGTTCTACTTTCCTGCATCTCCTCTCCCTCCGCCCTGCTCTCCGCTCCGCTCCACTCCGCTTACCTTTCTTCTGCTTCAGATGCCACCTATCCCAACCCAACCCAGTCATTCGCTGGGTTTTGTTTTTTTTAACCCAAGAATGTTAAAATAATTTGTTACCCTGAAACATTCAGGGAGCTAATATTTCCTTTAGAAAAATCACTGTTTTAAATGTATAGATACAACACAGGCTAAGAAAATGCGGAAAACTAAAAAGATAATAACTTGAAATTTATCTGAAGTCTCATACTCAGAGAAATCCGTTGTTTATATTTGTTGTAGTTCATTTCAAGCTTATTTCATTCTAATTATGTATTTGGGGAAAAAATAAACTTCCCCCAGATGGACTCACGGCCTTAGCGGATGCATTGTGAACCAGACTTGAGCAATAACTCCATTTGTTACCTGGTCCCCGTTACCTCCATTTTAACACGGGGTACATGATGACACTTTGGGTCTTTCTGTACCAATATCAACTTGGACCCTGTTTCCAACAGTGCTAGAAATGTGAAGGACTCTTTTTCCTGAGTTTATGGATTTTGAGTAAATAGTCGTAAGTTCCTTTAGGAAAGGAATTGGGGAATTATATTCCTTATATTTCCGGTGGCTTTGCAGGGTCCTATTTTCTCAGGACTTGGTTTCTCCTTTAGTCAATGACTCCAGGTCTGAAAACTGGTTCAAAATCAGAAATTGAACAAGCTATTGTGATTTTTAAAAAATTTTTTATTGAGGTATAGTCAGTTTACAACGTTGTGTCAATTTCTGGTGTACAGCACAATTCTTCAGTCATACATGAATATACATATATTCATTTTTACGTTATTTTTCACCATGAGCTACTACAAGATATTGAATATTTTTCCCTATGCTATACAGTATGAACTTGTTTAGTGATTTTATTTTTTATTGGGGCAGCTGCTATCACTCTCCTAAATGTCTATCCTTGACTTCTTCTGATTGTGTAAATAGTGATATATATGCTTGTTGGCTGCCCATTTATCTCATTTCTGTACTCTATTAGTCATCTCAAACTCTCGACAAAGTTGGCTTCCATTCTGAAATTGTCTCTCATTACAGTAATTTTGCCCACCCCTGGCACACGCGCAAACACACATACACACACACACACACACACACATGGATTCTGGTGGTTGAGTGCTGCCATTTCTGGCCTGAGTTACTTCAGGGTCCTATAATACCCATTGCTATCAGTGAGCCTACCTCTGTAGCAGTATCTCTTATCATTAACCCCAGGGCCAGTAGAGGACACTCCCTACAGAATTTCTCAATGATGCTGGTGCCCCTCTCCCCAGTACATTCCATTTTATTTTTTCAAACAGAATGTCCTTGGGCCCTCCTGTGACACATTCATTGAGTGGGTTTCCTAGCATTACATGGTAAATCCTCTCTAATATGCCCACTTTTCTGAGCTTTTAATCCTTTCTTTCTACTATCAATCCCAACAGTCCTGGCATTCTTACCACATTTAATGGGAACTATTTCTTTTTCTAACAGTGTGTTGAGTCCTTGCCACTGGGTCAAAATTCTATGCTTTGAGAGAATGTACCAATATCTATGAACTCCGCTTCAACTAACTTTGAGTTTTACTCTCCTTGATCCAGAACCCTTAGAATTGAGTTCTATATGGGAAAGATGCTGAGTGGGTGGCAGAAACACATGTTTAGCAAAGCAGAGGTCTCTGCATTGTCTTTAAGCAAGAATGACATGCTAACCCTTAAAAAGGAGGACTGGGCAACTTCCAAAAGATTCAAAAGATCTCAGGAAATTGGAGATTTAGATATTCTAATGCCTCCAACCAGATGTCTCCATCCAATGTCTCAAGGTTCTATTCTTTTCCAACCAAGGCCATGACGTAGGCATAGAAGATAATCTAGTTTGAGGATTTTACCTACTTTCGAGTTCTAGTATTCTTATGATTAAATCTTGAATCTGAACCTTAGCTTTTTGTGCCCTTGTGTTGCAGGATATGAGAGGTTCTTTATACCATCCTAACAGAGACACTCTGGCTGTCACAGTTAGCCTTTGTTTGATGAGATATCACCCTCAGCATTTAATCATCTCTCTCCAAGGCACTGATTTCTTCTAATAAAAACCATACACTTCTATCACATCATAATTACCTACTATCCTATGTTTTCCAAGCACTTCCAAGATACATCACATCTCCTTGTGCATATCCACCAGTATAGTATCTCAGTTCAGGTTTGGTGAAAGTTTTAAAAATTGCTTCTTTGTGCCAGTGGCTGCTTGTGTTCCACCAATCCCCTCATTGCCAACTAGATGGTGGATAATTTAGCCTCAGAAACCTCATCTTAGCCTCTTCTTTGTCAGATCACTTTGGATACCACTTTTGGTGGGGTTCCCTGGAAAGACTCTAAGATGGGGATTTACATTCAGAAAGTTTACTGGGGCACTACCTGAGAAGAAACGAAGAGAATCAGAATTTGTCAGAGGGGAAAACTGGGTTGCAGTGCAAGTGCAAAAAGGCATTTGCTACCCCTCGGAGGTCTCCACAGCTGGGATGGGCCCTTCAGAGTTGTCCTAAGCTGAGAAGCCAGATCTTGGCTTTTGTACCCCCTCATTGACCAATAATTGGATACAAGCTTCCTCTGGAAAAGGACTGTGACCTTGACCTGAGACAATTTCTAAAGAGGGATGACAGTTGAGAGCCATCAGGTAACAGCCTTCCAAGGATCTGGGAGGGTTTCAGGTAATTCAGTCAATACACCATCTGTGACCGTCACGGTGAGGAAGAAGAGAAAGATAAGATGACTTTGAGCACAGGATGGAATTTAAAAACCACCATAGTGATCCCAGATGCTGCAAAAAACATTTTATTGGAGATAATGGCAGGGATGATTCTGAAACCAAGGAATCGAGGGTTGAGAGGGGAAAGCCTATCCTTCAAAGGCTGCCCTGCCCAGGTGTCTTAACCTAAATGCACTGAAGATCAGACATAGAACAATTTCTGTCGGGTCCAAATTAGAAAGTGGCTCTGAGTCCCACTATCATGGAGATGCCCTTCCCTTCATGTGAGGCGATTTCCTGCTCCCACTCTACCTTAGGGCTCCTACAAGAGACAGATCAGTGCAGGGTTGGGGGTGGGCAGGGTGTCATGGATAGACTGATTTGAAAAAGTTTGGAAATTGACATTACATGTTTGTTCTAGGGGAGGACAAACGTTACGAAGTGGAACCTAGATTGTGTGCCTATATACCCCATTGCTACTTCTACACCTTTAGAGCAGAGAGAGAAGGAGGAGTCAGAATGTCTAGGAATGCTGTTCTTCAGGATATTATGACAAAGTGAACCATCCTCATGGAAGGGTGGTTTTCCTTTGATGAATTTTCATGATTAAATTTGTAACACATGCCTGAGGAGTTAGAGTTTCCATTCTTTTTTTCTTCATTTACATACTCTTGCAAGGAGAAATAGCAGTAGCCTTCTGTTTATAAATCTCCTTGGTAGAGAGTGGGAATTTTTGGCACTATAAGGGTGATTCAGTCAAGAGGAGGCCACTTAGGAAGAGAGTGTAGTGAAAAGATGGATTTTTTTTAACAGATATTCAGGTAAGAAGCGGGATAGGTCCTGCCCCCATTCGATCTTCCTATTTAGTTTTGAGGTGCTTCAGGTACGCCAGGATATCTGACCTGACTACACTGATTGGAGTCTGATGGAACCAACGCATGACGGGGACTCCATTAGGTCCCACCAGGAACTTTTCAAAATTCCAGCGAATGTCATGGACCATGATGGGTTCCCAGGATATATGTTTGATTGAGCCCATAACCTCGGAAGGATGAGGACAGGCGCGCTGAAGCAGAGAGATGGAAAAGAGAAATGACAATGTAATTTCTGCTCCTGGATGATCCAGGCTATTTTCACCAACAGAGAATCCACTCCTTCTTATATCTAGATATTTTAATTTCCTATGATTCTTAATAAACTCTCTGAATCACAGTCATGCCAACTACAAACAATACTGTAAATATTACAGCAAAAGTCTATTCCCTCTTTCTGTTTCTCCCTGTGACCCCATCACAAAATCATGCTGCTATGTTTAGGACATGTCACCTCTCTAGCTTTCAGTTTCCTTTTCTGCAAAGTGAGTGGCTTAGATTAGAATGTGGTTTCCCAGATTTTGGTGCTCCATGGGCCAATAACATTTCAAAAATATCTTTTGGGACCAAAATGGAGTTCCAATATTTTGTTTTGTCAAATAAGAGAAAAAAATTTTTTTAATTCATCATTTAATTTTAAAATGATAATTATAAGAATAGATAACACATAGGTCCTAATCTTACAATAAAGGGCAGCCCTACAAATCAGTTGAGTTTACATTGCCCTATTTTTTTTTCAGTTTACTGAGAATATATAAAAATCTCAACATGGGCCAGCCTTGGCCCACAGTCCAACATTTAGGAACGAACAATGAACTCTGATGCCCTTTAGAGGCCCTTTCAGCTCTCACACTCTCTCTATATAAAAGTCAAGTGTTTCATAAAACACAGTTACTACATTGTATTATACCTGTTCTCATTTCTATGTATTCCTCTCCAGTATGAACTCATCAAGGAACAGGGACTGTGTCTATACACCTTTATACTCTTATTATTTAGCAAATCGCCTTATAGATAGCAGTCACTCAACAAATGTACCTTGAATGAATGAATGTCAATAAGCAAAAGAGGATGGTCCCAGTGAAAAGAAACACTCCATACAACTCTCTCCACAAGGTCAGAGTCTCATAGATACTAACAAATTAAACCCTTATCCCTATGCTAATCTGAAGATCTCTTCCATAGAGTCTAATCCCACCTCCAGGCAGGAGTTTTTGGATCTATTTACACCATGTCAACTCTATACTAGGAATATTAGGGAAAAAGAGGCTTACATCAGTAATTAACTTACCTTCAAGAAGGTGAAGACTTTCTGTTCCTTTTCACCGTTCACATCCCCTTTCTCAAAAAGCTGGAAATTAGGTATATATCCTCCTCCTGGACGGACGTACCTGCAATGGACCATAATATTCCCAGGAAGCTCCAGAATATAAGAGAGAAAGTTATGATGAATTACTAGGATTTGAGGTCATGAGACAGGGGAGAAAATGCTAGAGATACAGAAAACAGGGCTGCGAAGGGAAAGTAAGACCATTTTTAAACTTTGGGCTCCCAGATTCACTTCATTTTTCTCTATTCCACATCCTGTCACTCCCTCTCCCCCAACCCTGTACTGTTTCTGCACCAGAAATATCAGGAGCCATTTCTTTCTTCCTTTTATTTTTTTTTAAATTTAATGGAGGGACTGGGGATTGAACCTAGTACCTCGTGCCCACTGAGCTATACCTACCCCACCCCAGGAGCCACTTCTGTGCTCTTGCTCCTCCATATGTCCAGGTCTCATTACCCAGGGAGGAGGAGAGAGTCTCTGAACACTGCCGTACTCACAACAGCAGAGGCCAAAGTTAAACTCAGTTTGTAGAGGCCCCTAAGCCTATTAATCCACTACCCATCCTGGAAGTTCCCAATACAGAAGGACCTCTGGAAACTGAGGAAAAGTAGACAGAGACCCCTATAGGGTTTCAAGGAGGTACTTACTTCAGTCCTGGAAGGATCTCCGAGTTCTCTCCTGGCTCTTGCTTTCCAAATTGGTTGCAGGGAAAGCCCAACACAACTAGGCCATAGGACTTCAGCTCCTCCTGAAGTGTATTTAATTCTATGAGTAGAGAAGGGACGATATGGCAGCCTGGCTAGAGACCCTGCCTTGTGTAGAGAAAGATTTTTGGAGTTACCCATTTTACAGAGGAGAAAACAGAGGCCCAGGGAAGGAAAAAAATATTTAGGTCAGAATGACTATTAGTAGCAAGGCTAAAGTTAAATACTGGATCTCTAGACATGGATTCAAAAGCCCTGTGTTATAGTGTAGTATTTCCCAAATCTGTAGCATGTCAGACTCAGCTGGGGGCCTTTCTTTTAAAATAGAGATGCCCAGGTCCCATTCCAGAGAATTCTCTGATTCCATTCTTCTGAGATGGCTCCCAGTTATCTTTATTATTCTAAAGCTCACCAGATCACTGCTCATGGAATTGTAAAATGGTGCAACTGCTATGATTTCTCAAAAAATTAAAAATAGAACTACCATAAATCCAGCAGTCCCACTTCTGGGTGTATATGCAAAAGAATTGAAAACTAGGTCTGAAAGAGATATTTGCACACCCATGTTCACATGATATTCATAATAATCAAGAAGTGAAAGCAACCCATATGTCCATCAATATAATACATACATATAATGGAATATTATTCAGCTTTAAAATGGAAGGAAATTCTGTCACATGCTACAACATGGTTGAATCCTGAAGACATTCTGCTAGTGAAATAAACTAGTCATAAAAAGACAAGTACTGCATAGTAAGACAAATACATGAGGTATCTAAAGTAGTCAAATTTATGGAAACAGTTATAAAATCCCTTTCCCTTTTTTCTTGTCTATGTAAGTTACCTGGAAAAGCCTCAGAAACATTAGTCCTACCTCCTCTATTTACCAAGGAGACCTGAATCTTCGGACAGGCTCCTGGTTCTCAGATACATATTAATTCTCCTGGAAATCTCAGGAGCAAAGCAGAGTCAGGACATAGGGAAGGGATCCGCAAACTTTTTCTGTGAAGGTCCAGATAGTAATTTCAGATTTTATGAGCAGGATGGTCTCTGGCACCATTACTCATACAACTACTCAGCTCTGCCTTGTAGCATAATATCAAACACAGACAATTTGTAAATGAATGGGCATGGCTGTGTTCAATAAACCTTTGTTTACAAAAGCAGGCTTGCCAGATTTTCCCTGTGGACCAAAATTTGCTGATTCCTGACATCAGGGAATAAAGATATTTGATCATGAGTATTGATTTTGATATATAGAATTAGAACTAGAATATAATTCCAATATGATTTAGAATATAATGAGCTGGAAAATTTAGTCCAAAGGAGAATTGGCTATGAACGCTTACCAAGATATTGAGATGTCAGACCACAATAGGTGGCCACATTGACAAAAAGGACATGCTTGCCCACATACTGCTTGAACTGAATGTGTTCCGCCTCATTCAGAGTGAAAGCGTCATATTCATAGATGTTGCCTTTCACATCTTTGTAGCAATCCATCTGGAAGATTTTAAAAAATCATAATATTAGTAACAATAATTTCTGCCATCTGTGTAATCTTTCAAAGCACTCAAAGAATAATGCATGTATTAACTGAGACCCAGAAAACAAAAAAGAGTTGTCTAAGGTGTCAATAACATGAATGAAACTTCAGTCTGGTGACTTGAAAGGCAATAATTTTTTGAAGAACAGGGAGTCAAGTCTCTCCATTATCCTGGCAGAAGTAAAATACCAGGAACTGCTTGGATAAACGGAAAAGAGCAGACATTCATGAACTGGAAGGGGATGACCTTAAAGTAAGTGGGGCCAAACAGAACAGCACACTGCCTTTCATGCTTCTGTAAAAATGAGGCTACTCCTTGTCTCTGGATTAAAGGCATCCTGCCTGGATACCCTCCCTAAAGGGAAAGTTTTAAATTGCCCAAGTATTTTAGGATGGTCTTGTTACTTCTTTAACTTTCCCAAGGTTTTCTGACTTCTTATCCCACTTATCAGCATGGTGGGGAATCAGAAGCCAGCTCTATTGTTAGATTTCTTTGTGAACCTGAGCAATTGTCATCCTTGGCTCTTAGTTTCCCCACTGGCAAAATGAATACATTCATCTGGATGCCTATCAGATCCTCCAGGGAACTTCCAGGTTCCACATTCTAGAATCTAATATTATCCCCTCCTTGAGTAGTTTTCTCTCTCTTACTCTCTTATACTCACATGATGGTCTTGCAAACCAATACTGTGAAATTCTAACTTTTTGTAGGTCCTAAGAATGGAAATGGAGAGCTCAAAAATTCATCTGTGAGCAGGTCACCAAGATCTGTCTGGCAGCATCCAACTTACTCCATACTCAGCTCCTCACCCAATTGTGCTCTAGGTTTCTAATACCTGCCTCCATCATCAGCTCCATCTATTCTATTCCTTATCAAATTTCCTGAACATATTGGAGCAGGGTCCCACATGAAAGAAATAAGTTCCACATGGAATTCTCATTGGCTGTTCTTAGGTTAAATTCCTCTGCATGCAGATCTCATCTTATTCCTCCTCTGTCTCTATCCATGCAGGGTCCATGCAGCACCCAAAGTGTGTTGACTCCACAGTGCTCACCAGCACCTCCTGATCCTTTCCCTATATCAGAGAGGCTGCTACAAATTGATCCTGGAATACAGGGAATATAAAATACCACAGTATGAAAATAAAGCTAACGTCCAAACCACTCGGTAAGAAAAAGGCAGAGAAGTATGGACCAGAGAAAGGAGTGAAGGACATGGTCTAATAAGAAAGGTCCAGACTTATGCTAGGATAAAACTAGAGTCTCTGGAAATGCAATGGACTAGAAAGCATTTTAGTCAAACATCATCTTCCCCCATCTAAGGAAGGAGTGATCCAACACAAAACCAAACCACATTTTCCCACTCATTCTATCACTAGCACACCAGGCTGGAACTACTCAGTCCCTCCCTCCTCCTGGGGAGAAAGGCATTTTCTTCATGCAGACTTTTGCACCTTTCCCTAAATGCGTGCACACACACACACACACACACACACACCAGCAAAACTGAGACATGTATAAAAAGAATATTATGGTTCCAAGCTAAACATTTTTAAGAATTTGCCTTTTGTTTCCCCCTTTGCTACGGCAATGAAAATGACTGAGAATCCTTTTGGGTACCAGAATGTGGGGACTTTGAACATGAAGACTCCTCTGAGTCCAGCTTACTCCTAATATTCATTGCTGTTTCACGTTTCAGTCTGTATGATTTGTCTCATATACCTCTGGACTCAGCTTTTATTAAGCAAATTCTACAGCCCAGGGTCTCCACACCCACGTAGGCAGCAATGGATAACATAAAAACCACATTAATTCTCAAAAATAGAAAGTCACCCAAGAGGTTATTAGTCAAGAGGCAGGAAGATCTTACCAGAGCTGTCTTTTATAGAACACATTATATGCATAATAATTATTGTTCACCCACTCGATTACTAGATGAGTGTGTGGGTAGATACTGTTACACACCCGTTTATAATGAGAAAGCAGAGACTAACAGAGGTGAAGTGACTTGTTCAAGCCCAAACGTGGTAACCCTCTATGTGAAGGAGAGTCTGCTTGCTCCTAACTTCATGATTCCTTTTTGCTTCCATATCATCAAGTTTGCCGCTATTCTTCCCTGAACGGCCCCTGCCACGGCCATACACACATTTTATCAATAAGGCAACTGAGCCATGAATTGGAAGTAGAATCAAAGCCAGAATCCAAGACTCCTGATTCCGGATCCAGTTGTTTTAGGCCTCCAATTATTTTTTTCTGTACGTTTTATGTTTCTCTGATAACACTCAGATTTCATCCAACCTGAAAACTTTCACACTGGCTTATTCCTCCTCTTCATGGGTTCCCCACTGAGCTGCATCTGAGATGACTCAGCTCAGCCTCTCCTCCCCACCCATTGGGGTGCCCACTGCTGTCCCGAGCCTCAGACCCAGCTCTGAGGCACAGACTCATGTGACTGGAGGGGAATCCAGGTAACTTCTCCCTGGAGAAGGAGGGGAGAAAGGACCACAGTAAGGAGATGCTATCTTTCCTACCCATATTCAACTCAAGAAATACCCATTTATAGGAGTGAAGAAGCCTCAGGGAAAAGAGAAGAAAGGTTTAGGGGAACCCGCAAAGAGAGAGAAAGCAGAGGTCAGAGTCTTACAAAAAGGACCGAGGGCCAGATCTTGGAGCAGGACTGAAGACTCCACATTTGACCCCTGCCCTGCCCTCTCTGGAGGCCACTCACCTTCATCCTTTCTGGCTTGGAATTTGTCTGCACGAAGCCAGCTAAGAAAAGAAGGAAAAGATAGGAGGCCCTTAACTGTGCAGTCATGACTAGTGTTTGTAGATCACTAGTCTGAGAGTCTTGAGGTCCTCAGGTAACTGGCAACCTTTTGATATCCTGGCAGAGACTAGCCTGACTCTGCACAGGCCAATCACAGGGCGGCAAGGATTTCTGGGGTGTGAGTGGGGCAAGAAGATGTAGAATTCAAACCACATCCTCACATCTTCACCTACACACACCCCCATGAGCACTCAGTGCTCACTAGTGCAATGAGGACCTGGGACTCGTATAAATTCGGGTAGAATTAAGAAATGGTGAGGGCAAGCCCGCCATAGTCCTTAAAGTCTATTGTCTGTTTTTACTGCGTGAAGAGGAGTGTCTATATTCAGGCACAGTCTCCCAGACCTCACAGTAAAGTGCCTAGAAAAAGGCATGATATAAACATTCCAAGTACTATTCTTAATATTATTATTTGAGCTCTAAAAAAAAAAATTCAAAGATGGACCACATATGATCCCTCTAAGAGAGTTAGAAGGAAACCAGCCCTGAAGAAGGGACAAATATTTGCACATTAATATGTTCACTATGCAAATGCTTACAAATGTTTTCAAGTGCTTAGAAATCGGTAAGAAAAACCAAGCAGCCCAAGAGAAACATGAGCAGTAGGCAGTAAACCAAATGGCATCTGTGATGGTATACAATGTTCTCCCTTACCAATAATCAAAGAGGTACAAACAAGAAAAATTGCATTCTGCACTTATCAGATTGGCCAAAGTTCAAAGGAGTGGAGGTACCCAGTCTGGGTGTCAGTCTGATATAGGAGGCTCTGATACCCTAGGTAGGGGCAGGGAGGACTACTAACAGCTGCCAGTTTTCTGGAGGATAATATGCCATTCTGAATGCAATGCTCTTTTAAAAGTAAATAACTTCTTTAAAAACTTTTGATTTTGAAATAATTATAAATGTCTAGGAAGTTGCAAACACTCCTCTTAATCTCCAGGAAGCCCCATGGTCCAAGAAGGATAATGGAAAGGAGACTCAGGTTCCTCTAAGGATAAAAATGCTTTGTCTCTCAACCAGCCTAAGAACCTCCATCCACTTGGCCACAGTTCCAACAACTATTCAACAGTCTCAGCTAAAATTGTGGAATAGATGAGTTGATGATGCAAGCATGGTGCCCTAAGAATTGTCGAGTTTCTCACATAAATAGCATATTAAATTCTCACCTTTCTCCATCTTGTCTACGGTACTGCTTTACCTTCTGGACCTCAAGTGCTGATGTTGAAGTTAATCATACTCTTCTTCTTTTTTCTTCTAATGGAAGTACTAGGGATTGAACCCAGGACCTCATGCATGCTAAGCATACACTCTAGCACTGAGCTATATCCACCCCAAATCATACTCTTAAATTCATGACTATTTGTCCTTGTAAGGACCCTCTCTATTTTATTTATTATTCATACTCAAATTCCATTCCCAGACTCCACTGATTTTTGATTCCCAAATTTCATTCTTTTTCTTCTCTCCCTATCGATACAATGTTTAATATGCATATTGTTCGTATTCTTGAAAAACAGATTATTAGCTCCTTGAAGTTTAAAATTTTATTTGTTTATTTTTCCATTTGGACCTCAGATTCAAAGGGTTGAGTTTATCAACTCCTTAATTTATAGTACTTTATCATCATTAGGCTGTACAATGATTCTCTTCTTATAGTAAAAATTTAAAAAATGTTTTGTCCTCAGTTCACCCTGACTTTCCTACCTTTCAGAGATGAGGAGTGACAAGGAAACAGTTATTACAGACTGGAAAGTTGGCAGCCTTTGCATTTGGTAAAATTCTAGCCTGATAACTTTGAAGGCAAAAATGACTAAAACAAGGGTGGATGTTAGTGTGGGTTGGCTGTTCCCAGTGCTTTGGGATTACAACGAAGGGATAATTTCAGCAACTAACTGTGCTCTAACATGATAGATAACAAAGAGGTGTTGAAAAATATTTGGATTAGTTGAAGAGATCAGGTTTGTTTCCCTTTACCACTCTTCCCACACTCTTCTTCCTCCTCCTACAGGATTAGCACTGGCAGCTCAGCTTTACTAACTCCCACATTTATTGAAAATGGTAAATTCTTCCTCTACAGTTCTAAGTTGCTTTCCAACCAGCCCCCTCCACCAGTCCTGCCCCTTCCAGGTTCACACAAGAAGCTGGCTTCACCTCCTTAAAACTGAAGTCTGAGTAGAGTTTAATTCTTGCTGCTGGTGGAGCCTGGGCATTCGTGAATTCTTTTGGAAGACAGAAGCTTTTTGTTATTCCAGATTTCTGATCTCTTCTAATCCAGAGGGAGGAGCCCAAAACAATGACTGCAGGTCCAGCCACAAAGCTCCCAAAGCCTTTTCAGCGCGACTATGTAGGTTTCCTGCTTTTTCCTTCCCACCCACAGATACTGACTCTCCTGCCTTTGTCCTGTCACAGATCAAATACCATATGAAATCACTTACATGTGGAATCTAAAAAAAATGACACATACAAACATGTTTACAAAACAGAAACAGATTCACAGACATAGAAAACAAACATGGTTACCAAAGGGGGAAGGAGGAGGGATAAATTAGGAGTTTGAGATTTGCAGATACAAACTACGATAGATAAAACTGATAAACAACAAGGTCCTACTATATAGCACAGGGAACTATATCCAATATCTTGTAAAAATCTATAATGAAAAATATATACATGTAAATGTATAACTAAATCATTATGCTGTACATCAAAAAAAACCCCACAATATTGTAAATCAACAATACTTCAATTTAAAAAAAAGAACTATGGAGATTAAAATATCAGTCCTCAAAAATAATATACCTCAATTCCTCGTCCTTCCCAAGCTCTGTGACTTTGGGCGAGTTACCTTCTGTACCTCTGGTCTTCGTTTGTGAAACTGAGATATACTATGAACTTCATGGGGCTACGTTTTAAAAATAAAGGAGATAAGTCATTTAAACCCTTAGCACTGGACTTGGCCCAAGGTAAACACCCATTGTCAATTTACCAGGTGAAGAAACTGATGCTCAAATAGAAAAACTGATTTATTCAAAGTCATACGTAATTACACACTGCTTCTCCCTTGTATTAAAAATTCCTTACTTTCTTAGTCACTTTGTCTGTGCTCATCACACAATAATTAACTCCTAAAGTAGAATAGAAATTTTCATCATAAACTATCTTAAGGATCAGATCAAGTGGGCTAAAATCTCTGCCTTTCCAAGTCTCTGTGTACCAATTTTTTAGTTTCCCTGGAAATAAAAACTCTGACCAAGAGAAGAGAGGGTTCAGGAGCTCAGGCTCAGCAGGGAGCTACGTGGGACACTTCCTCTCATGGTCTACCTGACTGTATCACATAACTGCTGCCTCCTTTTCATACCTTCCACCCATGTCACCTGTCAAATTCTTGTCATTTCCCTTCTGGAATGCTGAAATAATCATCTCCTACTTGTCTTCTCTCTTTCAGGCTCTTCCTTTTCAATGCTTTTTCTCCTTCACCCTGCTGCCACTGCAACCACTAAAGACCTATCTGATGATCTCCCTCCACCAATCAAGAGCCAGTAAGGCTAACCAACTTCTTAGTGCATCAAATCCAGAATCTCCAGCATAGTATCCAAATTTCTCCTGATGTGATCTCAACCTCCTTCCCAGTCTTTACTCTCCTGTGAATCTCATACTTCAGTCAAGCTAGATTCTCTCCCTTCCCTGAAACACACCTCTCTGGATTTGGATTCTTGATTGCAGAGGTCAGTTATACTGAATACTCCTTTTCCCCGAAATTATTTCCACTGAAAGGAAAAGGAATGAAATTTTATTAATTTTTTACCAAACAAGATTTTAAGTGGAAATATTTATGAACTGAACCATTGATTAAGGCTGAAAACCAGTCCAGATCTAAGTTAAACAGTAAGATCTGTCATTTCTTGACTTTAAAAATCCTAGTAGTTGCAAATAGTCCATGATCTTAAATAGACAGGGTGGCAAAAATCAGTATGTCTCAACCATTGCCTGTTTTTCTCAGACTCCAATTTCTCTTTGAGTGAGGTTTCTTATGGGGATAACTTTCTTGCCCAAGGTCACACAGCTAGTGAGTGGCAGTTTAAAGACTGAAATAAGTCCTTTCTGAATCTCTGTCTTAGCCTCTATTAGTGACTTACTCCTACCTGAAAATCAACAGCAAGTTTCTTGTGTTAACTTCTTTGATCATAGAGGAAACAGGTTCAATTTTTTTCTGAGATGCAGTCTACCTCTTTAGTCCAGATTTTACCACTGCCTCTGCAACCATCCAAATATGACTTAGAGATTTTTGTCCACCATTTAGTCTTACTTGAATATTTTCCTTGAATTAGATAATCTCCATTGGCATCTGGGATCCCCATTCAGGTCTCCAGGATATGGTTGCAAGTATGAAGTGTAGGATCTACTCTTACATCTGCCATTTTAAAGTAGAATGGCTTATGTTCACATAGAATTATAGTTGACAAATCTTCACATCAATGATTTCATTTAGCCTTCACAATCAGCCAGTTACAAAGGTAGAGCAGACATTATTTGCTCAGGTTTGCAAGTGAAAAGTGAGATTCAGAAAGGAGAAGTGACTTGGGCAAAGTCTCATTAATAATGTATACCTAGACCATAAACCTGAGTTTTTGTTTCGATTCCATTTGTCTCTCCACTTTAGGCTCAATTCCTCAAAAAATATGTTTTTAAAAAATGGAGGGACATCCTAGAAAGACTACAGTCCTTTTGCATTTAATTTTCATCCTCAGGTGTTCTTAATCTTCTGACCTCCTTCCACAAACTTGATGAGGAAGCTCAGCTCTGGTCCAGGCTGATTATGACCCTGAGCCTTCACTGAGACAGCTGGCCCTGACACACAGACTTTCTGAAGGGTCTGTCACTAGCCAAGCTTTCCTCCCCTTTCCTGTCCCAGGAAGAACTCTGCTTATTGGAGGTTAGTGTGGGGAGGCAGTGAGAGGAAGGATGTGTTCTCCCTCAGGCAGTGTTCT